AACGATTAATCACATCCACAATAAAAGTTTTTGTTTACATAATATATGAGTGTGTACTGTGTATATTTATTATGTATATATAAATACAAACACATGCATTAAGAAAACTATGCTATGTTTATATATTAAATATATTTATCTATAATATAAAATATAATAATATAAATGTATATACATGTAAATATCTTCAAAATATATACTGTATGTGTGTATTTATATATACATAATAAATAAATATATACATAATAAATAAAAAAGTACACATACATATATTATGTAAACAACATCTTTTATTTTGGATGCGATTAATCGTTTGACAGCACTAATTATATATATATATATATAGAGAGAGAGAGAGAGAGAGAGAGATAGATATGAATAATTAAAATAAAATAATTATTTCATTTTTTATGGTTTTAGTTAACTAGAATTACCCTGAATGTTTTTCACTGATGTTAAAAGGCCACTAGAAGTTTAGTCGGTCAACTTTTAGGAGTACACCAGCGTATGCATATGCAAAGCTAATTAGACATGGATACAACCCCTGTTCAACATGTTTTTAAGTCACTTATTTGTATAGTAGGGCACAAAATTCGCATAATTACTCCGGTCTTCAGTGTCACATGATCCTTCAGAAATCATAATATTCTAAATATTCGCTGCTCAAGAAACATTTCTTATTATTATGAATAAAGTTTAAGAATTCTATGATGAATAGAAAGATCAAAAGCAGCATTTATTTGAAATAGAAATCTTTTGCATTATAAATGTATTTGTTGTCACTTTTGATCAATTTAATGCATCCTTGCTAAATAAAAATATAAAGTTCTCTCAAAAAACTACGTATAAAATCTCGGATTATGTAATGTCAGAGTCCAGTTGACTCTGTGCTGCAGAGCAGCAAACTTTGGCATTTACACTGGCAGCTCAGAGTCTGGCAGCAGTATGTGACCATATACCGACCGTTGCACATTCAACAGACACTTTACAAAGACAAATGCAGAAATTCAGATGTATTTATGCCCCGCACACACATAACTATTTGCCTACAGACTTGCACACAACAACACTGCATTCGCGCGAAGCTCCACAGCTCAATGGAAGAGTGCTGTACAGACCCCCGCTCTGCGCATGACATCCACCGGGATCACCGTCTCCATCTCCTCCGCGCCCTTCGCCAGAATCACTAGAGCTCTTTTACCAGCCATGACTGCAAGTCTGAGGCCTGTGACGGTCTGCAATGCCACTCACACACGACACATTTATTATAAAAGGCGTTTCCGGGTCTGGTTACTTCTGGGGAACTGCCAGGCAAAATAAAAGTCTTCTTTTTAGTTCTTCTTGTATTTAATGGCGGTGATTTAATGTATTATATTCCTATGTGTAATCATGTACTTTGTATTATTGTTAAAATATAATCGTGTAATATATGTCAATATCTGAAGTGTAAAAATCGAGTTTATTATAAATAGTCATCATAGAGATGAAAAATGTAGACCCTTCAACCAGAAAATATACACTACAGATTTATTTTCAGTTATGGTAAGGATTTCAAGTTTGCCAGTGTAATTACCCAAGAAATTACGGATGCTAATTTATTTTTGACAATCTGATCGTGCATTCTGAATCTACGGACACAGACTCGGTTTTGAAGGTACTCCACGGCACTATAAGAAGCCATTTCCTGTTCATTAGAGATCCCTATGGGGACATCTGCCGTTTTCTGGGACGCCTTCCGCTCTCCTCTGCTCTCTACGGCCACATGGGCTCACTGTCCTCATTCACCACGTCCTTCACGAGCCCTTGAACGGCAAAGCTGATAGCACACATCTCTGCGTTCAATACGCCGACAAATGAAGACGGACGTGCTTACTGGCAATTATTACAACTCATTATCCTCATAATTTGTATTTCAGATTTGTAGTTTTACAGATCTGCAGTCATAATTATAATTCATTGAGCCATGAGCATCATATTGACATGCCACACATCGGAAAGATTCTTCCAGAAATTATCCAGACAGTTCAGGTGTACAAACGGGGGCAAAGGCCCGCTGGGGAAAAAAATTACCAAAGGCCCTCTGGGAAATTCATACTGGAGGAAAAAGGTAATATATGGCTTCTCTTTGCTGACATTTTGCCTAATGGAGCAGCGCTGAAAGAGTTGAAATAAATGCTGTTCATCCAGGGAAAGGTTAATGTGTGCACAGAGGTCACGATATGAAGATTACCTGCACAGATTGCAGCGATCAGACCCTTCCTGCCCTCCTGGTCCTTCAACACCTCTTTCACAGCGGGAGACTACAACACACACACACACACACACATACAACATGCCATTACTGAAATCACAGTCACAACACCTCTTCAATTTACATAATTATGCCATGTTTGCATTTCACAATACGAGCGCATTTCAAACCTCAGCAGATGACGCAAAGATGTTTTTTATTTATTCGAGGGACGCAGCATAATGTTATGCAAGATGCTCATGGCGTGAGAGCTCTCCTATGAAATCCGTTCAACTGTAAAACACACATAATTAAAGCAAAGTCGTACCTCAGAAAGGTTTTGAGCTCCAAGCAAACCTCCAGGCAGAAGTACCACATCATACGGACCCTGTCAGGAAAATGACATTCATCTGCATTAAGTTGCAAACAGGGGTGTTTTGATAATGTTTGACAATCAAGGATGTTTCGTTTCTATAGCTGATGTGCATATGTTGGCATCGAGGTTTAGGATGTGATAAATTGAACATATTTATAGAAGTCTAGTTTCATCAAGTTTTATTGGCAGTGCACTATTTGGCCAGTGGATGGAGACAGCACTCCAGTCACCTTTAGCTTCAACTCCATTCAGCACAAATGAGTTCTAGTCAACTTTAACTTATGAGGAGCCGGTTAAAACCAAACCTGTTTGCGGGCGTCCTCTAGGCTTGAATCTGGGCATATCATGACATCACGACTGCACTGCCCCGGCTCTAACTACAACAAATAGCCAAATAGCCTACATTAATAATACCTGAATAAAAGAGTCCCTTATGTAATTCCTTTTGATCTGTTTTTATCTGTCTGTATCTTAGAATATATATATATACAGTATATATATATATATACATAATATATATATATGGGAAAGAGGAAAAAATATCAATGAAATGAGCATATCTGCTTTTGTGTGTGTGTGTATATATTACTATGTTTCCCTTCTCTCAATCAGTATATTTGTACATTTTATACTATGTTTTAATGTGGAAGTTAACTATCTATGTGTGTGTGTGTGTTTGTGTTTATATATACATATATAAAATTGCAATTAAAATTATTCAACCCCCCACATACTGCAATAGTTTAATAATAATTTAATTCAATAATTTCAAATGTAAGCTTTTCTGAAGTTCCAGAGGTTTTTTTT